TTAACAATGTGAACTTCAATCTAAAACTTTTTAACGCAATATAACTTTTGTTTTTTAAATGGTAAAATTTTAAAACTACCTGTATATTTTGACAATTTACAAAGTTACAAATTAGCAATTACACTTTAAGCTGTGAAATCAACCGTTTTCAAATTATAATTTATTTTATTTAAAAATTTCAAAAAGTTGCTACATTTTGTAAGGTATGGAGCGCACAATGTGACAAAGCAGCAAAGTTCGGTTAAAAAATCGTTTTGAAGTTTTATTTTTTATAAACTGTCAATTTATTGATTTTTACTTAAACATCCTTGCTTGAAAAAAGTACATGAAATCAATAAATCGTTTAGTTCATATTAATTGAGGTGACCTCAATTTTTGTTTTTAAGATTCAGGTCATTTTCTCATTTTTGCTTGCTTATACTTGGATAAACGATGTGTATGTCAATTTATACCACTAACTATTGTTCGCAAAGAAATATTTATTTTATGAAATTTTGGAGCCGCGTAAATGGTGGTATCGTGATCTCTGAATTTGTATTTCAATTTTGTGTTGTTTTCATAGTATTTTTATAATGAACTCTTGTTTATTTTTTAATAACTCCGCTTATTTAAAAGTTTATTATTTTTTTGATCATAGATATTATAATCTATGAGAATAGTTGCATTACTTTTATCAGCGGGGCGATTTCATCTTTTTACAAATATTATAATTGATAATGTTTTTTGTTCTTTTGAGCTTATACTTTGTTTAATTCTGGAAAGGATTTTATTCATCATATCAAACAATGGAAAAACAAAAAATATGGAAAGTGTTAAAATCAGAGCAAACAATGAAAGAACATCTGAAATGACTCCCTCAACTAATAACAACGCGGATAGAAAATTTTTATATTTGAGTTTGAAATGTTATGATTTTCTTGCTCCTAAACCGTTATTTTCTCGAGTAAATGGAAGGTTAAACATCTCATGTTCAATTTCCGCTTTTGGAACGTTGCCACAAAGCCATATTATTACTACCGCATCTGGAAACAAGTATAATTTAATAAAAATTGCTCCTCTTCCTGTAAGTGTTTCCAAGCTATCAGAAATTACTGTTTCCTGAAAAAACATAAAATTCCCGCGGAAATCCTTGGTGGCTTTAAGATAGTGAGTTAACTCTTAGCTTTGCCACGTATTTATCTGTTGTGTACCTGATTTGAGTTAAGCAGAATTTTAGGAAAAACCCTTAGTAACCTTTTGTATACATCTGCTTGTTATCGCAAGTGTGTTGGCTCACATTATTTGTTGCGTTCATATTACTAACAGCATTTTATTTACTATTTGCTTAAGCAATTCTTCTATATACAGRGTTGTATATGRTTTTGTCGAATAGAAGTAGTCGTTTTTAGAGGCGTATTTTGTCTCCTCACTGCAAATGAATTTGCTGCTTAAAGAACAGGGCGTTGCTTATGAGGTAGCTTATTATGTAGGGTGATTAAACATCAGTTATATAAATGCTATATTTGAAACACTTTGATTTACTAACAGTCTGCCAAAGGATCATTGAACCACCTTAAAATATTGTTCTATGAGTATGTCTAAATTACGTTTAACGAGCTTCTTCCAGAAATAAACTTTAAACACTTTTTCGTACATGCAATTACGGCAATTTTGAGCCACCGTGTATATTTATGTAAGGTATTTGACTTATATAATTATATGTAATATAATTATTATTTTAGTTTCTATCGGTTATAACATTTTTGATGTATTTTTATTCAACCGTTAGATCTTCCGACCATTAATTATTAGGAAGGTTTCGGTTTCGAGCTTCATAACCTTCTCCTCTAAGGTTCCTAATAAATGCAATACAATTTCCGAACTTACTAGAAATTTTCTTACCGTTCAACTTTTGTTCATCCATCTACTGCTAACCAGAGGCAAGTGATCAACTGGAAAATGTTGGCAATAAAAAAACATAACATTTTGAAAAATAGAATATTTTCAAAAATGTGAATACCGCACTAGTGCGATAATAAATCTGTCGATCATTGTCAAAGTTGTGTTTTAAAATTGCACATTTTAAAATAAGTTCAAGCGATGATCTGCCATCTGATATTGAAAACGAAGCTTTTAACGTTATTTCGGTTCTTGTGCCAGATAGATCACGGAAGAATTAAATAYCAAGAAGCTTCTGATCGGTACCAGAAATGGTGTTGTGACTGCAAGATACAGACCCAGAAAGCGGTGCAAATGTACCTGMGGTGTTAGGTAAACCTGATCTTTAATAAAACGCAAAACCGAAAAATCCATGGGCCTGATATCTGGCGGTCCAGGTGACCAATTCATAGGWCCATGTTTTCATTATCAATCAAAGAWTTGGGCTTTTAAGTATTTAGGTATTTTGTGCAGGGACAATCCCGACGTGCTGGAGCGTGGCTTGTAAAACTATTAAAAGTTAATAATTTTTCAAAGACAAAATSGCTCAAATGTTCTTGTAAAATGTTTTGAAAAATTCAAAATATGTAGCTCCAGTTAGATGATGTCTGAAATTCCCAGCCACGCAATTACACCAAACATTTCTTGGAACTCCGTTCCTCGAAGTTTTGGTTTTTTTACGACCAGCAATAGTGGACATTTCAATAAACCATCCATTGTTACCGAAGTGGTTTTAGACCACAAAAAGGTTTTCCTCATTAGCCATCTGTAAGATATTCTTAAATTTCCAATAACGGCAAGGTTTAAAAAAAACGTATTGAACTAAAAAATCGAATAACAATATGAATGTTACACAGTCAAATTTGCCCTAAATTGGGAACGGGATAATTCTGATATCTTCGAGCGATTTGGATTCTGTCTGTTTCTATACTGTTAATTCATGTAGTTCAAAAATAGCACCTCATATAAATTTTCTACAGGCAAATGAAAAAATGAAAAATTGTAGAAACTTCTTCTTACTCTTTGTTGGACAAAACAATCTTTGGATCTCACCACCAAAATTTTAAAGATAAACCAAATAGCTCCAAACGGTTTTTAATTTTTCGGCTATCTCTGCTATAATTTGGTTTTAACTTTTTGGTCTTCCAGGGATTACTTTTCTACTCTTACTGCGATTTTCACGATTTAAAACTCATGTTGAAGCTAAAACTTCATCGGGAACTTAAGGCAAATTTTCAACATACTAGGTTGCATAAAAAATGTATTTAATTGTTTTTATTGAAGTGTTGTTATTTTAAGAATTACCCCTGAAATCTGTGCTTCTGGCAGTCTTTCAAGTAAGGCGAAGTTCACTTTGAAAGATTTCGTTCATTCATGCAATCTGATTTATTAATTTTTGTCCTCAAGTTGGCCTCGAATTTTTAGCTTCAACATGAGCCTTAGACTGTACTAATTGGTTCAAAAAAATATATAATTTATTCTTAACGCCACTCTGTTGTAAACGACGTTTTTGAGATACGAGGTGTACCTTAATGCCTGGGGTGTTGAAATACAAAAAACACGTTATTTTGGCTCACTGAGAGCATGTGGAACTTTCACCACTAGTTTGATTTCTCCCACTGCCTCATCGAGTTTGATAATGTCCGCCGCAGTTGTGGACGAAACGTCAGGAAGAAATTCCCATAGACCACTGCTTCAAAGCCCGGAAAACATTCCTAAATGTGATTTAACCGGCCGTGAAAGCATTCATAGTCTGATAGTTTGATTTGTTGCATTTGTCACCCTGTAAAAACTTGATCTCAGCCTTTTTATTTTTGTGCAAAACCACTTTAGAACTGAAAAATAATTGTACTAAATAACACTCTAAACGGATTACAAAACGGTCCCAGCGATCAGAATTCGAAGCGAAATTCGTCCGGATAACGTCTATTTTGGTGAGCAGGTCAATGGAAGATAACTTATGGCCATCGACATTTTTACAGATTAAGAATATTATAAAAATTTCTGTTCAGAAAAATTATTCAATTGAAATGTTTTTCTTTGCACACGAAATTGTAGAATTCGCTAGGTTCACGTGAACAATTTTAAATATCGATAAGGTTTTCGGCGTTTTCACTTTTAATTTTATTTTTGAACGATCCATCAAGACGAAGATTTCTTTTAAACTTTCAGCAGAAGATTTGAGGATTTGATATTCATATTTCTGTTTGATTTTGAGTTTATGTCTTTAAATTGTGTGATTGGTTGAGCCGCACTATTCTGCGCGCATTAAATCAAAGAATTTTTTTCTAAAATCAAATTTCTATATATAAATATTTTTCTCAATTTGAACCAACAAAACGTTTTTTAAACCGCAAAATCTAGGTCCTGTAGGACGTTAAAAATTGCCCACATATTTATTTAATTAGGTGAGCTATGTTCGCGCACCACTACTTATTTATCTTTGTCAAACCACCAGTTCTTATATTTCTACATGCAATAATTACTCATTGGATTTATGATATTTTATCTTACTATGCATAAGACCGAGGACTTGCGTGCTTTTACATGAGTAAACGAGTAGTAGTAGTACTACGGTGCTATGTTTTCGCATATATAAGTAAAACTTTTTTACTTTCGCTCAATTCGGGCTTTGCTTAAGTAGGTGCGACTGATTCCAAGTACTTGCTAAGTGTATTTCGACGAGTCAAGAAGTGCTTAGACATTTTTTAGTAATTATAAAATTGTTACTGAAGCTATGGAAGATATTATGAATTGCACCAAAAAACAGAAACCGCGCGCGCTGTGCATGCGGAATCATGGAAATAGGGAACTGGATGTGTACGACACCTTACAGTTAAAAGCTGACCAAAAGGTAAGAGTTTTTGACGATTATATTTTGGAAAATTGACCTTTTATTCAAAATGTTAATGCCCCTTTTTATTTTTTTTTTTGAAAAAAAATTTTGGAGGGAATATTAGTGTGTTGAATAAAAAAATTAATCTCAGGAATCCTTCTTAATTTCATAGCCAATGGACGTTAAATATTTAATTAATTAAGTGAAATATGATTTAATGGGGTGCCTTAGTCGTGTGGCCGCATATAAAAATTTTGCGACCAATAAAAGCCACACAGGCTCGCAAAACCAGTATAAAATATTTTTAGTTGCACAGCTTAATTAATTTAAGGTTATTGCCTATAAAACTTCGACCCTTTTGGCGTTTAATAAATTGGTCGTGTTTAAATATTCACCTTTCTAATAAGTAGGGCGGATAATTTTTCTCGCATTAACTCCACAAAAAGTTGATAATTACAAGGGTCTAAATAGTATCAGGTGTCATAAGTGTTTTTTTCTGCGGTTTTGTGGTAGATTTAGGCGTCTGAAATGAAGTTAAATAAAGGTAACAATTTAATTTATGTTTGAACTTTGAAAGTCGTAAACTTTGCACTACTAAAAAAACGCACCAAGTTTTTTATGTTTATTATCGGGAATTTTTGGAAATATTTCTATGATTCCTTATTCCTATTCTTCCTGGTAAGCCTTACCTAAGCAAAGACAAAGTTAACGTTTCAAGAAATTAAAATTTAACTCTTTTACTGCATTTTTAACGCCTCTTATTTGGCTAAATACTTAGCCTATCAGTCTCATAAAATATTCATAATTTCGTTAACTCTTTGTTTTCAATAAACGTGCTGTTAAAAATCGAGTTTACTAACATCAAATCACAAGAATATTATACAAAATATAATTTGTTTAATCACATGACTGATACCATAACTATTTCGTAAAAATATAATCCTATTGCCGAGCACTGGAAGCAATGTGTAAGAATTGACCTATGTTAATAATGATAATAGTGATATAAATAAACGTGTAAAAGTTGGATTGATGTTTATTATACAGCGTTAATGATTTTATAGTAACAGGTCTTAGATCTTTTTTAGTAATAGGTCTTAAAAAAGCAGTCTATAGAAAATCCAATTTTAATAGTTTTAATTATATTGAAAACGGCTTCGTTTTTAAGATACAGGGTGGCAAAATTCACATTTTATTCCTGTTTTTTTTTAAATTCACACAAAATCTTAAGAGATGGTAATAAAATTCAATTGCTAGGACTTATCACAATACCACATCCAATCGTTGAAAAGTTTTTGCCAAATTTACAGAAGGCGCCACATGGAATTCTTGGTTAATTTTTAAATAAAAGTAACTTTTTGTGACCACCCGCATCAACCTGATTTTAAAACCAACTAATTTTTCGTTTATATTTACGTAAGAAAGGTATTCTTGTTTGAAGTCGCTAACAGGCACCATTTTCGAGATTGTTTTAAAGCACGTTTTAGTCGCAAATTAGTCACAAAAAAGTAACAAACTTCAATTAAACAGTTTTAGATTTCTAAAGTGAGTTTTCAATATAAAAATCGTTTTGTTGAAGTCGTTTGACGATAAGAACGGATTTTCAAAAAATTGGGAAATTATTTTACGTGTTTAGAATTGTTTAAGTTTATTACTTTGTTGTGTATTAATTCGCAATTAAAAATATTTTTGAAAAAATCTCGAAAAATAAAAATCAAAAATAAATTAAAGGCATCAACTTCATATTTAAAATTTGATGTCAATGCCATTTTTGAAATTGTCATGTTTTGAAGTTTGTAATTTCTCAAAAGCGTATTTGTGTTAGCATATACATACAAGTGAAACAATGAGTGTTGAAAATTCAAGTGCTGCTTTCATGGTATCGTGTTTGTATAAGATGCATATTTTGCACAAAATTTGCGATTTAAAACAAAATCGTGTTTTGCTTGGGGCAAGATTGGCGGGCGCAAAAAATAGACCATTTGAACGACTTTGAGACTGAACTTATAGCAAAGTTATAATTTACAAATTGTAAGTAAACTTTCAATTATGATCAATGGTTCTCTATAAACCTAGGTAATTCATTAAGAAAGCCTGTCGTTTACATTTTAATGAAAAAACTTCAAAACATTTTATGACAGTGGCACGTTCAATTTGTCAGATTTACTTTTGAGCACATGTGCGTAAGTAGTGCGCCCTTTTAGATTCATTCGACTAAAAAATAAATTTTCCCTTAAAAAAATATTCTGCTCAAATTTTCAATGAAAAATACTTAATAAATATTTACGAGTATTTATTTAGGTACGTTAAGAACTTTTTTAAACTACTTCTCAAACTAAGTAAAATCTTTAAAAATTATTATTTCATAATTACTCACTTTAAATGTGCCAATTTGCAACACCTCAGGCGTACACTTTGAATTAGTTAAAAAAATCGCTAAATACTTTAACGTGAAATGTTTGTGAATTTTTTCACATTAGGTAAGGGTCACCTTGTATGTAAGGAACGAAAGGAATTTTTAATTCAAACATTAGTATCCTAAAAAAATTATTTTTTCGTAGAGCTAAACTCATTAAATGTGTACGTCCTTTTGAGTTTATTTAGTCATCTAAATGTGTGCTATGCGTTCGATTTAACTTCATCTCCAATTGCCAAATAATTAATTTCAAGCAACCTTGTAAACATCGGGATATAGGCAATAAATCACTAATTAATTAATATCTAATTAAACTTAATACTCTAATTAATATCATGTCTATTGTCGAGTATTGGTGTGATTTATCTAAAGAGCACTTAGTATTGAGAGCCTGTAATAGACGCCCTTCAGAATCCCTCAATTTAACAACGTAACTAATAGCAGTGGAAATAAAACATTAAAAACCAATTATTTTAAAGGACAAATTAGAATAATAAATCCATGTTGCGGGAGAGCTTCTAAAAGTAATACAAGAAGTTATCTAATAATGAAATTATTTAGAGATATAGTTTATATAAGTTCATTATTTATGTTCTATTTATTTAATTCTCATTCATGACATTCAAATTCATGACATTCAAATACATTTTAGTGAAAATGCCGGAATATACACGTTTTCTTTAAAAACAAAAAATATTTGGCTTGTCACAACGATCTCATGCTTCCACGGTACAAAGACACATTTAGTAATATAACACTTTCATAAGTCATAACCATTACAACCATCCGTATCTTTTATATAAATAGTTTTTTATAATTAAAGAAGTGCGATACTTTACGACTGGTATAAATAAGTGCAGATTGTCATTCGCGAATCTATGTAAGTATCCAACAAAGTCTTTACCTTTTAGGAATACATTGATATCCAAATCACTGCAACTAATATAATATAATATATTAGGTCGTGAATTCATTTCTATTGGGGTTTTACGGCTCGTAAATAGACAAATAGGATCGCCCTTTTTCCCTGGAGGATTTTCACATTTTAAACCTTGATGGCCGTGTCCTAATACAGCAAGAAGTAACATGGGATTAATAAAACTTTACTTTTTTCATTTTATTTTACGCGCGCTAGTAGTGCTTTGAACCATTCCCCAAAGGCCTCAAGCAATTCATTTAAAAAATGGACTCATGAAACGAAGGAAATGTCACTAAGCAGACGCCTTATCCGGGTAAGAGACTTTTCATAATATTCCGATAAATTCGCCTAATCTGTATTTCTTTCCAATAAGTGATTTTCCAGATTCTTTTTCTTCCGTTCCTTCACGGATTAGGCGAATTTTACAGCAAGGATTTGAGCCCTTTAATTTAGGTGGTTGATTCGGTGAAAAATTCGGAATTATTCGGATTTATTGCGAGGAAAATCTGTGCGGTTTTTCTGAAATTGTTAGGTTTTTTATTTTCGAACAGTTCCAATTTCTAAGCTAACACTCAGATTAAACGAGTTTAGAATCGTGGAATAAGTCGGAAGTGTCCAAGAATAAAAAGTAAAAGTAATAATCAGAGGATGATTTTGGTCATTTAAGTTCCGTAATTGATACTTCAAAAACTATGTAAAACATAAATTTAAAGCAGATGTAAAATTTACACTTTTTGCACCTCACTTGAGTACGACATAGCTTGTTTCAAAATGATCATAATCGCAGCGATATATTACAGGGAAGCTGCTTACTTTTTTTTCTGTACTTTGCAAACTTCGAATATGTGGTCAAGTATGGAATCATCTTTTGGGGAAGGGATGAAATGCTACAAAACCTCTTTATAGTGCAAAAAATGTCTAGCCTAATGTTCTTTCTTTAGCAACAAAAATATTTTTGACTCCAAAACTGAACATGAGTATAGCACTAAAACATTAAACTTTACATAGCCATCATATAGATTTTCACTTACAGAAAAAGCACTTCATTATGGAATAAAGAATATTAAGTAAATTGAAGCATTTAAGGCTAGCAGAAAATGTTTAGTTAATCTGGATCCATATTGTCTGAAAGACTTTTTTATAGCGTTGTAATTATGTTTGAGTTAAGTTGTAATTTAACTACGCGGAATCTAAGACCCCATCTCATGCACTTAATTGTTAGGTCATTTGAAATAAAGAGAGATTATCTTTATTATTATTATTATTAGTATTATTGTTATTATTATTAAAATGAATTGTTATGAGATATGGTAAGATGCATCACTAAAATGTAACAAGACAGTCACTAATTAAAAGGTCATCAAGTGTTGAATTTATGATAGATTACTGTATATTTTTAGTTATTTTGTTTTGTCAGAATTTGCTTTTTAGTTCCTGCACGGAACGAAAAGGTTATCATGTTCGTACTAAATAAAAAAGATAAATGTTTTGTATCGGTAGGTAATTTGACGATATTTTGTAAACTGTCCTATGACTTATAAATGACCCTATAGGAAGTAATAAATGGTCGTAAGGAAATTCTGCAATGTATACTCGTACTATTGGAATGATCAAGTTCACGTGTAAATCCTTTGCAGGAAAACATTATGTACCAAAATTTACGGGAAATCTCAGCTTCAGCAATCCAGAAATACAGACCGACAGACTTTTATTCCTTACTATTTGTAAAAGGAACTAAAAAGATTAGAAGCAAAGTTTGCCATTTGTTTAACACTCGCGCCTTGATGATGGCTGAGAACATATTTGAAACGAAGGTTAAAAAAATAGTGCTTATCTTCTCTCCATCAAACGGCGATAATTTTTTAAATAGTAGACAATTTGGGACTTTATTTCCTGAAATGGTCCATATTTTCAACTGCTTCTCATTTCCAAAAAAAAATTACAAATCGCGATAACAAAGTTTTTAATAGAATTACCAAGTATTTATACTCCCTGTCAAAACAAATGGCGATGGCACAAAGAAATGCAAACATTTTGCGTGTTCGACATGTGCGACTGACATTTTCTTATATATGATAACGAAAACTCTTTGGCTCAATACTCTTCTTAAGATTTAAATTGGGCGTCAGAAAACAACGCACTGAGATGTTGCGATTTGATCGTATTTAATAGATACTAAGTATGTATAATAGCCAATTAGGTATTGAAATTTTCAAATGGCACATAAGAATGTTTGATATAATTTTCACTGTTCGACTCTTATTTGAAGCAACTTTAATTCATAAATTTCAATTCCAGAAACACTCGGCAGCAAGCTTCCGCAGCCGGATCCCGTTGCGGTTATTTATAAACAGCGTCGATAAAGCGCAGTTACGTTGTCATGCATAATGCAACAGAGTTTTGCCTTTTCTTACACATTTTTCCCTGGATTCTAGTATACACTTTCCATAATGTGTTTACAACTGTTCTCTTATCTATTCTATTCTTTCCTCCGACAATTTAAGATTTTTATGTAAACAATCGGTATAAATTGCGCGGCAAAAGATAACGACTCACCTGTATGTGGCTTTGGAGTATGTTTTACTATATCTGGGCCGGATTTAGCTGCCTTAGAGGCTTTGTAGAGTCTACATCGCGCACCTGCTTCTACAACTTTAATGTGAATTAATATAAATGTGTGGCTCATATATTTTCACAAATTACGATGCAATACAGGACAAGGTGCGTCCAAAGTAATTCGTTTCGGTTAGTTAAAGTAACTGGTTTATTATGGTTTAAAATTTTAGAGGTTCTAGCAGCAGTTGAAACTATCGACCATTTCAGGAAATAAAGTCCCTTAAAAAATTATTGCTGTTTGATGGAGAGAAGAAAAACACTATTTTTTTAACTTTACTTCAAACATGATTGAGCTATCATCAGAGTGCGAGTGTTAGACAAAGTTGTTTCTAATCTTTTTAATTCCGTTTACAAATAGTAGGGAATGAAAGTCTGTATTTCTCGATTCCTAAAGCTGATATTTCCAGCAAATTTTGGTACATAATGTTTTCCTGTAAAGGTAAATTTACACGTGAACTTGATCATTCCAATAATACGAGTATATGTACATTGCAGAATTTCCTTGCGACCATTGATTACTTCCTATAGGATCATCTATAAGTCACAGGACATTTTACAAATTATCTTCAAATTACCTACCGATACCAAACATTTATATTTTTTATTTAGTACGAACATGATGACCTTTTCGTTCCGTTCAGGAACTAAAAAGCAATTGCTTACAAAACAAAATAACTAAAAATAAGCAGTAATCTCTTATACATTCAACACTTTATGACCTTTCAATTAGTTGATATCTTTCTTGTTACATTTTATCGATGCATTTCATCACATCTCATAATAATTCATTATAATAATAATTTTAATCATATCTCTTTATTTCAAATTACCTAACAATTATGTGCATGAAATGGAGTCTTACGTTCCCCCTAGTTAAATTGCAACTTAACGCAAACGTAATTACAAGGCTATACAATGTCTTTCAGATAATATGTTTCCAGATTAACTAAAAAGTTTCTACTAGTCTTAAATCCTTTAATTAACTTAATATTATTTATTTTGGCCGAAGGGAGTTAAATAACTTGACACATACATTATGAGGTAATTTTTCTGTAACCGAAAAGCCATATGATGGATATGTAAAGTTTAATGTTCTAATGCTCTACTTATTTATGTTCAGTTTTGAAAGCAAAAATATTTTTGTTTCTAAAGAAAAACATTAGACATTCATAGATATATAGAGCATATATAATCATGATAACCAAATTTGAAGGTAACCACTTTTTTAACTAATCTTATTAACTTTTTTGCGCTATAAAAACATTTTGTAGCATCCCATCCCCAAAAGATGATCCCATACTTTACCAGAGTTTCGAAGTGTGCAAAGTGCAGAATGTTTAACGAGTTCTCATTCATGTACTTGCCAATCACTTTAATACTATAACAAATAGAGTTGAGCGTTTTTATTAACTGACCTATATTATATGACCAGTCAAGGTGTTCATTGATATAAATACCTAGAAATTGAGCGTTTTCATTCATATCTAGATTGTTATTGCTCAAATCTACCTACAACGGCTCTGATATGTTATATTGTTTTGTTCTAAGCATGAAAAAATTTGCTTTTTATTTATCTAAAATTAGTCTATTTATATTATACAAAATTTGTAGCAAACAAAGACACACTTTAAAAAATCTATGAGTTTTTGCTAACGCCGACGAGTTCGAGAATTCAGCAAATGTATTGCGCAAACTTGAAACATCGGAATTTAACAAAGCTTAAATATTCGCTGCAAATGGCATTGCGTGAATCCAGCAAACTTCAGAACAGTTCCCAACTTTACTTGAAACATGCCAATAACAATGTTATATATTATTAAAACAGGAATTAGCTTAAATGTGGAATAGTAAAGTTTGCAGAATTATTAATTTATTTTTTATTTACCATTTATTTGCATTTGAACAACTCTCTTTGTAATAGAAAGTTGCACTATATATTAAGCTAGTTCATATTACAGCCAACTTTCTATATAAGTATGCAGTTTAATGATAAATTCTACTATTTATTAATAAGTGAATTTGCGATTGCTCTTTGAAGAGAGACGTGCATGAAAGACCTAACTTTATAATCCATTATTCGCGAACGACTATTTATTCGAAAAGATTTTACTTTAGGATTTAAAAATGTAAATTATGGTGCATGTTGCCCATTCTGTGGTCAGTATACATTTAGAAACAATATTTATTTGCACGGCAAAACGCTATATAGGGAATATTTGCAATGTACAAAATAAATTCCATATACTAAAGTATTCTAAAAGAGTCCAGGAAAGGAATCGAAATCGGGATTGTCTAGTTTATCTTGTTGGGGAAAGATAATTTGGTACATTCCAGTTTCTTGGATCGAGCTTCCACTTAACCTGGATTTATGACACTCTTTCAGCTATTCTAATCAATTGTGCGGTGTTTGTATAGAAGTTCGGTGGATGGTTGGGTTGTCAAGTATATATACTTGACAATATGATATACAATACAATATTTTTAAACACTTAGTGATAGCTTTTCTCTATCTTATGTACTAGTTTCCTGCGTTGCCTTTACTCTCATCACGTTTCCTTAGTCTAGCAGTATTAGTCAAATAATTTCGTAAATTTTCTCACAGTTTTGTTACTTATACGTTTGTCAACGTATTTAAGTGATCTGAAATGCGAGTTCTATTTATAGCTTTTGTGTAACTATTAAAACTTGGCTCATTTCGCATATTTTTCGTTTTTATCGGTTGTTATCTACAAATATTTTAAATTGTGTTTTGGTTTAATTGATTTTGCTGTTGTTGTTGCGGAGTCTTATCTAGTTATTTCATAAAAGTTGATTTTCTCTGGAATTTGTTGTTAGACTCCATTTGTAAAACCGTGTTATTGTAATGCGTGTCAGTTTCTGAAGCTTTTCTGTTCCTTCTGCGGCAGTTTAGTCGTTCGTTATTTTCGTCGTCCCATATTTTAGCAAGTAATTTGTTTTGTTAAGTTAAAGTGTCTCTAAACTATGGTTTCATATGGAGTGAATAATTTTTTTTATATAATGTTCACTTCACACTTCGTATTACGTATCTGTATTCAAGTCGGATTCTTATAATATAAAGTACGTATTTTAATGCTTCAAGCCTGCAAAATGTAAATAATGACCTTTTGGGGTAAATGTACAATTCAAAAAACCTTATTGGTAACCACAAAAACTGGATACTTTTCTGCAGTCCGTTTACATGCGTTTTGTGTCTGTGATTGTGCTCTTTATAGTATAACGATTTTACTTTAAATTTTTCAGTGTTCATGTGCTCAATACTGGAATAATAACTTTGAGCTATTGAAAAACAAAACATGTGCAGTCAACATAAATATTTTTTGTCAACGTGCGCAAACTGCACGTGTTTTCCTCTTTTAATTGGGAAGCATCGAAAACTCAAATACAAATAAAAGTAAACAAGGACCTTTGAACTTCTTTATGCTTAGCCAATTATATTTTATGCTTAGCAGCATTCTGCAAACGCAAAAAACCTTTGGCAAACGGAAGTAAAACGCATATTGTATGTATGTTTTTTTGCCATATTTAAATTGTATTTATTTGCAAAATTAAAAATACTTATTGTCTACTATGTATAAATAATCATTTCCAGGCTGGATCATGCTCGAACCAAGTATGCCTGGGTAGTGTTATGGGTCAGCAAGGCAAAAACGAACCGCTGAGGATTCCGAAAGAGATTTTGCGGCAAGCTAAAGAGTTTTTGGACCAATATTTTACATCAATAAGAAGGTAGGTTTTTTCAGTACTCCTTCGATATTAGATTGTCGGTAGCGACACTAACTAATTATTAAAGCCGAATTCGGTAATTAGTGCTTTTTAAATTAATTCCATGGAGTAAACATGTTAAAAGAGTCCACAAACGTTTAACTCACATTATAAAAACGACCTGCAGCTACATGAGTTTTTATTTCCCCTGCTAAATACTTTAAAACCTGTTGTTACATCGCATCAATCACTCAATCAACCGGGTTAACTGTTTAAGCGCTTAAAGGATAATCTCGAATGAAAATTTTGCGCTTTAGCTCAGAAGCAACGAATCAATTATTAAATTTCAGTCTGCAGTTTAAAGATTGAACAATTATGTTTAGCAATTAGATGAAAATTATTGGATTTCTGAAATAAGAAAATCTAATAAATTTATTTTACAGAACAATTATTATCTACATGCATATCAGAACTTTGGATATCGGTCAATATACATGAGGTAATAACTCGGAAACCCTAAAGTCATCAACTTCCGGAAAAGTTATAACTAAAGTTTCCTAGATAGTTAGCAGCAAAGAGTTTTATAATAAGTAAAAAAATTGTCTTTATTTTTACTGAACATTACTTTAAAAATAAATGTTAATTGTCTTTGGAGAAGATCAGATCATGCAAACAGACCGAATCATTTATTGTTGGAAAAAACATTGTCAGTTCTAAACTTTGGCCTTATTTTACAGAAATTATGATTTTGGTGACGTCATATCTTTGCTGCAATCGACTAAAACTGCAACCTAATTTATTAAACACATATATCAAGTAAATTATTCTTTAATGTAGACAGAATAATACAAAACAGTACACGAAGGGAGTGCTTCTGTACCCCAGAAGTGAGCATAGCAACAATTTTTTAGCCTTAAAGTGTATACTACAAAAATTGGGAATAGTTAAATTGAGGCCATATTCGCAAACTTTTCCTTTCCATTCTCAACTATACGATTAGTCGTAGATAGAAAGCGGACAGTAAAGGATAATTCGATTATTTTTGCTTAATTTTAAATATTTAAGTAATACCAAGAATACCTAACAATATATTATAAGTGGTCTCCAACTCATAGCGGCAAGATCGCATTATCGCGATTTTTAAATCAATCCGTACATAGGTCATACTTTTGTAGGCTAAATTTTGTTTTTCTAGCGAATCACAACTAGTCTAAATCCAGTTGATTAATATGGTATAATCCGGATACATTGACCAAATAAAACACGTGAACTGGCTTATTAAAATTATTCGTGGCGTACTGAAAGACGAAAAATTAAGATAATTCGGTTTTACTTTTATTGTTTTACATATTTTCTTTAGCTGCCATTTTAGATGCAAAAACTATTTTCTGAAAAAAAAAAACACCGTCATGTATTTTTCTGAAAGTTGCAAATTTCACAGTTTTCTAGGAATTAAATGTTGTTGCTGTTGTCAACGCTTGAGAACTTATGAAATCTATTCCTTAATATAAAATAGCTGATAAACCTGAGTTAATCAACGTTAAGAAATGGTAAGCTTTCATACTGCATTTGCTCCTTTAGTTAAAGAAATGGTCTGAAATGAGCAGGAAAGTGTAAAGTTGCATGCACCTAGCAACTCTATTTGTTCTTCTTATAGCAGAGTTCCAGTACGTCTGATTCTTCCAGAAAATAGCTGAAATGTGAAAAACTATAATGAATAGAAATGTTGTAAAAACCATAGAAACATAAATCCACATTTGTTAAGCGGCTTTTCAAGTGGAGCACTATGATACGAAAGGAAACAATTAATTTGCAGATACAGTTTGCTTTAGGGAAGACTTATGGGTCAAACTCACACATAAAGAATAATATTAGTTATCTTGCAAGATCCAGGTAACATGGATATACTCCGGCAATGTTCTAGAAATTTGGTTTGTTTTTTTCTCTTCTTTTGTTAAATCAACCACCAAATCCAAGTATTACAAGCTGAACCGATTCATTAAATTAACCGCATGCAGAACTGTCCTAATTACAAAGCGTTTTATTTTGATGCTTTAACTCACGTTTATAGATTAATTGTAGATATAAAATATAAAAGTTTTTTGAGTCAATTATTTTGAAAAATTATCAACATATTGGGTATGAGACATTATCTCGATATTACGAATTCAGCTACAAAGTTTCCTTCAACCCAACTATTTCAAAATTTAATATCCGACCGAAATTAAAAATAAATCTAAATACATTAACTGAACTAAGGAAAAGTTCAAATTATAGAGCCTCGAAATTTTAATAATAGTTATTGACAAAGCAGCTATCTAAAGCGCTGGCATTGTTTCGATGTTATTATCTAAAAAAAACCAACGGGTTTTCAAGATTTTACATAAAATAGGAACTGCGGAATTTCACGCCATCGGAGTATTATTTAGTTAAATTTAGTTTCCAAGGTAGAGAAGTATCGACCATTGTTCACAGTTTTGGAACTTTTGCCAGTAGGAACGTTTTAAACGTTTCTCAAGCAGATAAATGCAGAAATAATTTATCTTAGAAGGTTCCGTTTAGGACAAACTATAATTAAGACAATTTTGATTTGTGCATAAACTAATATAGGACAGATATGTATAACAAAAATATATGGGTATCACTTGTGGAAAAAAGGTATGAGCATATTTTTCAGATCGTTCCAGATCTGAGTTTTTAGTCAAAGCCATAATTTCCTTGTCCAAAATTATCAAGTTTTCTTAATGTCGCATTAACCTGATTTATAATTTTGTGCATTTGAGCAATTGAATCCCAACAAAGTAGCTTTCGGATTAAGCATGAACAACAATCACAGCTAATTGTGTTTTCTGGATACACAAATCAGTTGGGTTTCCCGATAACCAATTTTCACAGTATTTTGACAAGACTCCAAATGCCGAGCAATTAAATTCTTGCCGATTTTATCCGGCATTCGGTTTAGCTTAATTCGCACCCCTGCAGTATAATGGGCTTATCTTGACTCTTGCACTGGTTTTAAAATCCGAAATGATTGACTAGCCGGAGCGCCCCAATATTTAGCGTCGTATCAGTTGTAGCGTTTGCAAAATTACCGTCATTTATCAAACAAGTTTTCACGTTTACCAAATTTTTGAACGTAAATTAGATTGTTGAATGACAACTATTGATGCTTGCTTTTAGTGGATTGCAAATTTCCAGAGTAGCATTCTTACCGGTTTATAAGTTAATTTTACTAGTTTATTATAAATTTATAAATATTTATCAATTTTAATATTTTGTCATGAGATTGATAGGTGTAGAACCTGAATTCTTGCACTTTGCATATTTTTATACTTTTCGTATTTATACTTTTCGTATTTATACTTTACATCATCTGAAAACTAAACTCTTTAAAATCTTGAATTTACCGTTATACTCGAACGAGTAAATCATTTTTAAAGGTAGTAAAGAATTTTCAATTTGAGCACTCAATGACGCTTTATTCAATATTTGCCTGTAAGTGCTCTGTTGATTTGTCGTCATCCTTAAATTGGCAATGCATTGAGGTTCGTATAAATGCTTTGAATTTAGTGTAGTAAAATATGTAATTTTGGCATATAAAATCACCAGCGGAAATGTTACATTGTCATGCACGACACATTGAGGGATCGGCTCTAGAAACGATTTATCCCCTTTTACGTTTAGATCCAAGTGAAATAAAATATATGAACACAAATTTATCACAGTTTTCCGTGATAAGGTACAGGGAATTTTCTCAATCTTACCAGAGGAGAATTAAAATCTGTTATACTCCCATTATTAAAAAAAAGTTTAACAATAAAATGGGCATTTTTTTATTTTTTGATTGGCTCCAGCAAATCGCTCTTTCACCAATAAGATGTTGCTGTCTACGTAAATCACAAAAGTTTACAGGTGGAAGTAAAATCCAAATGCAGATAACCAGTTGTTCAATCATTTTATTAATGAGACTAAACATTCAATACTTTAACCAGTTAAGGATAATTTGAAATTCAGCTTCTCAATTGAGTTTTCAAACCAATGCTCTATTTCCGTGGAGCTTTACCCATGTCAATCCATAATTTATCACAAAACCATTCAGCTTCACTTCGTAACCTCACATCAACGAGAATAAATGTTTGGATCTGATAGCACAGTTTAGTGTTGTCGGAAAGTGTAATGAGTAAATTGTACGAAAAGACTGGAGAGATTTCTTCGATTTTTCATCAATTAATTGGAACTGAATTGCTTTAAAAGCTCGAGATTCGTTCGTGAAATCATTTTCCAAGACTGTTTTAGTGCTTGACCATATGAAGCTCAAATAGGCGAAAATTTTTACTGTCTAAGATGACTTTTACTGTATCAGTAGAATCAATTTTGTTTCAATCGCGTTTCTATTGTGTAAGATCTGACCTATTGAGATATTTTCAAGGACGGAAAACTTGATATATTTTTCACAGTGAAATATAATTTATATTTTGAAAGGCACTAATTAAAAACTAATCATAGATATGTTGTAAACCTGATGTGATCATCAAAAATGTTGTTAAAGACTGTGAGAGTCGATTTAAAAAAAATAATTATAATAATAATAATTAAAAAATTTGCAAAAGCTTAGGCAACTTTTGAAATATTGACGTAAATTGATGATCTACCAAATCAGCATTGAACTAATTTAAAACATTGCTTAGAAGCGAAGTTGAAACCGAAGTGTTAAGAAATGTTCGAAATTAAAATGTTTTAGAGGAAACTAAGTATTTGAAGAAATACTATTGCACCCTTTACGTAAGCGCTCTAACTAGCCTGAAGAGAAATGTCACAAATTTTGAATTTTGGCTTGTATTAAAAAAACAGGTTTATATAAAAAAACTTACAATTAATGAAGTCGGTATCCGTATGAAGCTTTTGCTTAGGATTTTCAAGTTTTGAAGAAAACTTAAGAATCTGACTAATAAACGTGTCGTTTAAAATAAAAATAATTGTTCACTGTGTCTTATTAGATTTTTGCATTAAGTAATGTCGAACTT